GTCTTTGACTAGAGTTAAAATCTGTCTGTATCTCTGAAATGAGGTATTATGATTGCATTATTTACATTAGTCGGACTGTTATCCTCGTTTTCATTGCTATATTCACAACATTTCGGCCGTTGTACGCTCCGGCCTTCTCCAAGGACACATGGCCCAATGGATAAAGACGCTGGTTAGATCCAGTGACTAACCCCAAAGAGTTGTGATTTCAATACCAGGCCACAGTTGTAGTGAACCGAAACTTGGAGTGTTAAGTTAAAGAGAAATAACGGAGACATCCGGAAGAGGCATGGCACGTGGAACTAGAACACTCTACTCTGGTGGACGAAATAAAGGATTCGGTTCGAAATTCCAATCACCCGAAGAAGGCCGGAGCGTAAAACAGCCGAAACGTTGTGATTATGGCAATGAAGATGAGTGTAGTAGTTCGAATAATGAAAACAATGCAAGTACAGATAAAATGTATTACTGGAATTTTATTATAAATATATATTTGTTTTGTTTTTTTTATATATATAACAATGAACTTCTGGAATTCTTTTTACTATAAAATGTATTTTTATACTTACATAATATCTTGTTTTTGTTTGAGGGCTTACTATTTCTCCATAATTGGGACCCTAACAAGTGCTACCACCCCAGGCCAGGGTGAATCTGGGAACAACAGCAATTCAGAAATATTCCAAGCTCCTAAAATCTTCCAATCTCCTGATCAGAGGCCTTGCTGCCGGATGTAGTTTATCGTTATACCCAGGACTATCAACCTGTAGGAACGTGTCATTTAATTATGGATAAATGGTTTAAAAGAGCTTATTAGACATGGATGGCAGCCAGTGTAGGAAAAGAACAGCTTTGGAATGAAAACTATGAAGAAATAAATGGGAAACAACTTTCTGAAAAGTCAAGGCAATTCTCAAAATAATAAAGAAAGGGAAACCGTGGAGACACGTGATCGCCTCCGGTCTAAATAGACATGGCATTTAATTAAATGAAAATGTGTTAAATCGCCGATTAGACTGAGTTCTCTCGCCTAGAGCAGCAACAAGTCTAAAAGAAAGAAGCCATTAAATTCCAAACCTTGGGGTATTTAAGAGGAAACTATCACATGATCTTTTCTCAGAATGCATTGGCGTCACAAATAAAGTGACGACCATGCATTTTGGGTCTAAAGATTTCCCCGCACCTACCCTTAAATTTACTGTCAGCTCCCTTTTATTGAAACGGATGTTTTGCAAAAGATTCCATAACTGCAACGTACATATCAGGTCATCCCATAAGTTCTGTCCGAATATTAACTTTTTGTTAAAATGAACGAAATTTAAAGAGTATTTTATAATGTCTAATGGAGCTGAACATTATTTTTATGTTTAGATGCATTTAAACTGATTAAATTTTATTTCAGAGAAAAATAAAATAAAATTTTGTTTGATTAAAACCCTGCTAACATGGAAGTACCCAAGAATCATTTAAGGCACATAATGCTTTATAGAGTTCAAGAAAGGAAACTCAGCAGCCGAAGCGGCTAGAAACATTCACTCAGTTTATGGAGAGGAATGTGTGAATGAAAGAACTTGCAGAAGATGGTTTGCAAAATTCAGAGGTGGAGATTTCACCCTTGAAGATGAAGATCGAACCGAACGTCCAGTTGAGTTTGATGAAAAGCTTTTGAAGCAGCCCTTAAGAAAATCCTGCTTTATCAGTTGAGGAATTGGCAGTGGTTCCCAGTTCAAACCATACAACTGTTCATCGTCATTCAACAACTTGGAAAAGTTCCAAACTTGGAAAATGGGTGCCTATGAATTGTCTGAAACAACTCAAATCCTTGAGTTGACATCTGCTCTTTCTCCATTCTCGCCAAATTGTTTCACCTTTTTGGATAGATTCTAGACTGGCGACGAAAAATGGATTTTTTATCGAAATGTTATGTCGTAGACAGTGGCTTGGTAAAGGGAAGGACGCCAGCCAGTCGAGAAGGAAACTTCATGGGCAAAGGTTCTTCTTTCAATCTGGTGGGATCGCCAAGGAATAATCCACTTTGAATTTTACCACCTATCGCAACAATTAATGCTCAAATATACTGTCAGCAATTAGAGCGTTTGAACCAAGCTTTTGAGGAAAAAAGACCTGCTCTAGTGAATCGGAAAGGGGTGAAGTTTCATCAGGACAATGCGCGACCCCACACAGCAAGAATCACGTCACAAAAGATCGAAGAACTTGGTTGGGAGAAAATTCGTCATCCACCTTATTCTCCCGATCTTGCTTCTTCAGACTATTATTTGTTTCGTAGCTTACAGAATCATTTGGAAGAAACAGCTTTTGTAACACAGGACGAGGTTAAAACTGACATTTGTGAGTTCTTCGAATCAAAGCCAAAAGAATTTTACAGTAATGGAACTAGTAAGCTTGTTAATAGATGGAAGGAAGTCATAGATAATCAGGGAAAAATGAAAAATAACGACAACCCAATTTATATTCACCCCAATTCTAACCATCCTTCATCATATACCTTCGTCTGTAGAACGTAGGGTTAAAAACCCCTGATCGGACAAAGATGTATTTGATAATTATAGAGGTGTGTAAAATAAAGCTCTAAAGAATACTGGTTATAAGTGCGCTGCAAACAAGTTTAGAAAATATGATGGTAGTGCTCCAAAGAAAAGAAAACGAAATAGGAAGATTATTTGGTACACACATCCATTTAATCAATTGGTCAGTACTAAGTTAGCCTTGATAAACATTTTTCTAAAAGTAAACTGCTTAGTAAAATATTTAATAGAAACACATTAAAACTATGTTATAGCTGCATCACTAATCTTGAGAAGATCTTAAAGTAACACAATAATAAAATTTTAAACCAATTTGAATGATAATACAAGTTCCAAGGAATCAACATGTATTGTTCTTTACCAATAATACTTATAGAAATAATACATCACTTACTAAATATTTTTTGGGTTTGAAAGTTGATAATAAATCTCCTAAGTTGAAATGGAAAGGTTTAAAAACGCCAAGGACATGTAAATCCTTCCTGTTTTCTGTGCTTACATGAAAAATTGCAAATTATCAAGTTCTTTGATAAGAATGCTTTATTAAACCAAAGATCCCAGTTAATGGTAAATTGTAAACACAGCCTACTTTTTACCTTACAATTTACTTGGACTTTGGAATTTGGCAATGATTTTTCTTAGACTTTAGTTGAACTATGTTGAACTGTTTTGCACCATATATTTTTCTATTTGTAAGATTAATTTGGATTTAATATAATGTTATGTTAATTTATAGTAGTATTAGTAACATCTTGTACAGATGTATTGGTATTTGGTTGGTATTTTTGACATTTTGCATTAATTGGTTATTGTTATTAACATCTTATATAAAGAATCTTTAGTCAAATGTTGCATATTAATTTACCAAGTAATTCTATACGTTTAAATTATTTACTGGTTTTTTAAAGAAGCTATTTATTTATCAACTTTAAACAAATTATGTAGTAAACTCACAAAGCATATGACTGTTTAACATTCTGTTAAATTACGACTGCATCTCATTTTTTCTTAGGAAATAATATTGTCTAGTGTGGAAAATATGTATCCGTTAATATCCACTTCAGTTTAACCTCTGTGTTGCCATTGACTGGCAATCTACAGGTCATGACTCATTTATGAAAATTAATTTTTGCTTCTTCGCTTAGTTTAAATTTAACGTAGCTCGCATTCGATTGGTTGATCTGAGTAAATCCCACAAGCCTTATAACCCCACCTTTTTTCTTTTTTTTTTATTAAAGAGGTTGTATTTTATTTTTGAATCCTAATAAATCGTCCCCTCGCTAGTAATTTATAATCGGCTGATGAAATGCATTGATAGGCATGGAAACACGACTGCAATTGTGTAGTGATTTTGATATATTTACGATCTAATATGCTAAGATTATATATATATATATATATATATATATATATATATATATATATATATATATATATATATATGTGTGTGTGTGTGTGTGTGTGTGTGTGTGTGTGTGTGTGTGTGTGTGTGTGTGTATAAAAAAAAGAAAGAAAAGTAAGATATATAATCCGGTGTTCTTATAGATATTTTTATTTTTACAAAATAGTGCTTAATGTAAATTTACAGAGCATTAATATTATAAATAAATTGATTTAAAATATGGTTTTTCCGCTACACAGTTCTAACCATGTTTCAAAAGTGGAAGGTCCGAATTTAATTTTGTAATTAAATTAAAGACATTAGTTCCATTTCATCCTCAAGCGATATATATATATATATATATATATATATATATATATATATATATATATATATATATATATATATATAAAAAGGGAGTGTCAGTAAGAGAAGTAATGGATTTTTATTGATCCGATGTTTTTTGTCACTTTAAACGTTATTTTTAGTGGACACACGTATTTGAGTAGACGCTCTTTTCATTTCTTATACAGTATCAGTCAGTTAGGATACACGCTTAGGCGATCATGTTTCTTTCGATACATAACTGACGAGGTAGATTTTTCCCGCAGTAGGTTACCATTTCTTTCTACGGTAGACCAGTTGACATCCAATGCTATAGAACCCGGCCTGTCCTGATATTTACCCATAGCTGGGGTGGGTGGGAAAGATATATATATATATATATATATATATATATATATATATACACACATACATTCATATATATATATTGATGGTGTTCCCTGGCCTCGCACTTATAGAACTTATAAGATAGAGTTAAGATAAACTGTGTTAAAGTTACTATCACCATGCAATGTCGATTCTTATGTCTACACTGTCTCTCACTATATATGTAACTATCAATATGTATATAACTCTCTTCCTATCAATATATATATATATATATATATATATATATATATATTCCATCTCATTTTTTTATATATATATATATATATATATATATATATATATATATATATATATATATATATTAGATTTCGCTCTTTTCTAATAATTTTGGAAACAAGATTAGTACCTAAAATCTGCAAGTTCTTGACGATTTCATCGTTTTATTGCTACTGTAATCTATCTATTCATCTATCTATCTATCTATCTATCTATCTATCTGCTTGTCTGTCTGTCTATCTAAGTATCGCATTTTGGTCATTATTATCTATCTATCTATCTATCTATCTCAGCGTCAGAAACATATATATGTTCAAATATTATTATAACAATCTGTTGCTTTCAATTTAATTTTCTCGCTTATTAGCCTGCCTGTAAGCTAGCAATATATGCACTTCTGTTTTTCTGTCTCTCGTTCTTCGTATATATATATATATATATATATATATATATATATATAACGACTATCTAATAGCTGTATAGAGAATAAATTCGACTGTTTATAGGCTTATTATTTATTCATTTTCGTTTATAACCTTTACATATCAACATATGTAATCGCGTTCTACCCAATTTACAAGGAATACGTCAATTTGTACTAAGTGAACTTGTAATAACCCTTTTCCAGATTTCTCTCCTCTCTCTCTCCTCTCTCCCCCTCTCTCTCTCACACACACAAACACACGCGCGCACACACATTTTCTCTCCCTTTCTTTCGCAATTCACATCGATTATTTTTATGAGAAGTAATAATAACATTGGTGGAAAGGGCTGAAAGGAAAGGGTTTTAAAATAATTAAATCCGATAATTTTATTCAGGATTTCTCTTGATTCGTAGTCGTGGTGGGGTGGCGTTACCTTTTTCAACATATATAAAGCTTTTAAAAATTTAATGGTGGAATGCGTAAGGCTACTAATCCATGGCGACAAATTTTAATCCCTGGTTACAATAAAACTTTTAATCTAATTGTTTTGCATCCTTTTGCCACTTAAATCTGATTATCTGTTTAGACACACATTAATTAAATCTTCTTTTTTGTAAATGCCACGCCCTAAACTGATTGAATCTCTGATTATATGATTTGAGTTTAATGAAGCGATATTTTTATAATTATAATTAAAGATATACGTTTTCATTTTTAAATATTTAAATCATATAATGATTGTTCCATTTAGTCTATGACATGTGTACATAAATGGAACAATCATTATGGGACAGAGATGAGAACTCCCTTCCTCTTACTCGCTTCCCTGATAGCTATAATCTTCAAATATTCAAATGTAATGTCAATCGACATCTTCTGATGTCTTGATCCTGACTCCCGTCCTTCTCTTTATCCTTTCCTCAAACACCTCTCTTTATTCTCGCTCTCACTTTCTGTAACCTCTTGCGTGTTAGTGGCACCCCCGCCTTGCTTAGGGTGAAATGCTTATATATATATATATATATATATAAGAAATATAGTCTTAAGATGTGATATATTTATGGAATAAAGTGCTCAATATCAGAGATAGAGCGTGTGTAAATATAAATGTGAACATAGAAGTCAAATAATTTTAGAGGTGACAGTCTGTTTCATGCTAGACTCAATCGTCAGGCCACGAGTGCTGTTTATATATATATATATATATATATATATATATATATATATATATATATATATATATATATACATGTGTGAACAACCTGAGATATATATGAAAGGATGGAGATAGATAGATAGATAGATAGATAGATAGATAGATAGATAGATAGATAGATAGATATATTGTAAATTGTTAACTTCTCGCTACTCAGGTATTCAGGCGATTTATATCCCTTAGTTCTACCAGTCCAGTTTCTTGGTATGATGTTAAACTACATCCGACAGCAAGGCCTCTAATTGGGAGGTTTTGAGGTGTATTGAACAACCTCTTAATTGATGTTGTTCCCTGGCCCAGTCTGACTCGTGGTGGTAGCACCTGTTAGGGTCCTAACTATGGGCAAATAGTTAGCCCCCAAACTGGGGTCAATACACTATGAAAGTATAAAAAGAAGAAAAAAAACATCTTACCAACAATACATTTGACTCTCGACAAAAAAAAAACTCTTTACAGAAATACGTCAATGAATTTTGATCGACAAAGTGATTTCTTACAAAAAATACATATTCTATTCATACGAACCTATCCTAAAATTTTGTTGGCATTAGATAAGCCATTGAGGTTGATATACCGTAAAACAAAATTAGTGTGTAGTGCCTTACAATACATATTTCTTGCGACAATTCAACTGTCATATTAATGTTGAAATCTGCTCATCAATTCTTTCAGTCAAGTATTGCATCAAATACTCATCAAAGGTGTCAGATCAAGCTGTTTTTGCACAAATTTTCGAATGATTTTTTATCCCTTTGATTTAAATTAAATTTAAATTTGAACAAAGGAATGATTTCTATCCAAAATATAGAAGGAGAAAGCCAGAAAATGGAGGTCACATCATTTTTCTCCACAAATTATAAGAATGATTTAAAATCAATCATCATTTTCTTACAAAAAATGTGTGACACGCGTGTAATTCGGCGCGGGTAATTCGGCGACTAAGATAATAAATTGTTATTGTTCTTTGAGGCCTCAACACTAAATAAAACAGTCACTGTTTATGAGCTGTCATCTATAAAAATTTACTTCCTGCCTTCCTATCTTTTGCTTCGTACTTTCGTTAACATTTGAGCTCAGACATACGGAATGTTATTGAAAAATAAGAGCAGCTGACAACCATAAAACAAGATTCAAATCCAGTGGGTGTATGTTTGATGTATGCTCATAAATGCATAGAAAACCCTTCATATGTCAAGTTAATATTTGCGTTCGAGGCAAAAGCGTAGATATTACTAAACCCAGAAACTTGATATCGTAGCCACAAGCAAGGGAGTGTTTAAAGCTATGATGGTCAGTCTATTACGCATGCGCAGAAAAATAATGGAACATTTGATTAGATAGAGATAATTACATCACTAATATTTGCTGATCAGTCTACAATTGATTCGTGTGAGCTATAGAGTTGTACTTTATTATTTCTTAATATTTGCAGATGTAGGCTTTTTTTTGTTGTAAAATTGCGTCCATTTATTTAATTTGTAACTGGCAGCTGCTCTCAAAAAAATGCTAACTTGGGCAAGAATTTAAATTTTTTTTAACGCATCCAAAATGAAACTACTCTCATTAAAAGAGAAACACCTTTGCCCTCTATGGCTCATGTTAACCTCCAAAAACAGCTTGTATATTTTAACGTCTCCAAAATGAAGCTGTTATCCTTTAGTCAACATAGAGAAGCATTTTTGTATTTCATCAGCATGGCTGATGCTAACCTCCATGAGAAAAATACATTGCGTCTACTTGGTCTCGCAGTTAAACCAATCAGGAAAAAGATAAAAGGTTATATCTACGGGTTTGTTTTTATAATAGGGAATGTCACACGGGGCTTATTAAAACCTTAACTTTATGTCATATGGGAAGAAAATGAGTAACTACCGACACCAAGGTTTGAACGTGGCACTCTGAACTTATGAATATATGTTTTCCATCAGGTGTATAAATAGCGGTGTCAGGCTACTGACTGCAGTGATTATTAAGTGACTGTTGAGTGGAACTATCCAGTCGAATTAGTGGGAATTATTGTGCATCGAGGATTAGGGTTTTGATTTAGGATTTATCGGACATTAAGCTGATCCGTTCTACTAACAAGGTATTCACTGATATGGTTAATTATCTTTGGTTGACTTTTACTTCTTTTTTCTTGTTAAATATTTATTTGTGGTTGTAATTAAATACTGTGTTTATTTTAACATGAAGTCTTGTGTTATACTTAATTATTAATGGCCACCGTATGTCAAAAAACTTAAGAATTAAGTTTCATCAGAAAATTAAAATTGAAAAACCATGAAATGTTCAAGTGTATTTCAATTAATATTTAATACCGGATTTTATTAATCTGCCAGACTTATTTAGGAATCTATAGTTAATCCCGAACTTATTAAGAAATTTATAATTTATACTCGGTTTTAGCTGTTAAAACGAGATGTCAGCGTAATTGTAATTTTTGCGTAATTAGAACGACAATCCATACATCGCATTCTGTGTACAAAAATAAAAAGTAACAGTGACGTCCATTTTAACAGATATATTTACCAAAATTACACAAAAAATATCTTGAAATATTAAAGAGTAAATTTATTTAATAAAATCGCCACTGACTTCAACCACGGCCCCCAGACAAATTCGGAATCTCCTGCGCCTCTTCGTAAATATTCGTGAATATGAAAGGATTATGATAAAAATAAGCAGACTGGCTGCTTATTTTAGCGCTTCATTTTACTTACAGTTATTGTCACGTGACGCAAACAGAAGTCAGTGCATTATTTAAAGAAATTAGCTGTAAATAACCAGCAGTGCCTTTTTTATAGCCACCTGTCACTTCTATTATTGCCAACTAATAATGTTTTTACATTTTTGTAAAGATATCTAAACAGTTACAAACAGCCTGGTGTACTAATGGCCATTTACTTATACTTAATGAACAATCACAGATAAAGCTTGTATGTAATCCTGAATTGTGTTATTATTTAACACCAAAATGATAAAGAATTTTTAATGAGAAATGAATATTATGTAAACCTAAATGTTATTACTGCCGTAATAAACACTGCCATGATGGTTATTGAAAGTTTAGCGAAAGGTAAAGGTTGCTGTGAGCGCAATCATAACTCGATATTAACATTTTCTCAGCTGAGCTTGCATGGATACAAGTATATTTCATTGTTATGTAATTATTCTTCGAATAAGCAATTTATTATGAAGTTATGCCAATAATATGTAAGGTATAAATGATTTTATTACTTTTATTATCAGTTTATTTGATAATGTGAATCTTTTTTCATGGACATTATTTATCACAGCGAGGCCGAGGTTAACCTACCGAGAAACATCACTCAATATTTAAGGGTGATTTGGGGGATTTAAAGGTAGTCTTATACGCGGAAATATATGGTAATTTTATAATTGTTTACAATAAACGGGAGAAAAAAAAAGTGCATATTTTATATTATTATGTTAACAGTGGTAATTTACACTTTCTGCTTGCAAAAAACAAAAAAATCAACGTTAAAGTTTTTTAGGGGTTTTATTCAATATTTTGATTCGTTCAGTAACTGTCTATATTTCTGAGATGAGGTATTATGTACACTATTTACATTATTCGGACTATTGTCCTCATCTTTGTCACCATATTTATTACAACATTTCGGCCTTTCAGT